CCAAGAAACCAAGAAAAAATATAAAAAACAACAACGCTGCCAAAAAATTAAATGTTAACTTGGCAAAGTGAAACAAAAATGCATTTTGTGCATTTTCAAAAAAAAAAAAAATCAGAAGAGGGCGAAGATGACGAAGAAGAAGCGGCAGAAGATCTTGCAACGGTAAACTGGTTTGCAGGGATGACAAAATATGAAACAAAAAACATAATCATTGCATCCAGAAGCTGCACCAAGTTTGTTTGTGAGTATTTTTTACTTAAATTCAATTTATAGAATATATACATAATAAAAGAGTCATAAAAGATGTGGGGATGTTTACATTTTAGTCCTTTAATTTATAAAAAAGACTTAGAAAAAGTGGGAAAAATGGAGGGTTACAAAATTGGTAACATCTTCAATGGTTTTTTGATCATAACTTGGCTTAAACTCATCAGATTTAAGTTTGGTTTGGATTTTTCTTGTTGGTTTTTGAAGGCCAACATTTCTGTATTTAAATCCCAATTTATGATTTTTGGCCAATTTTTGACAATTTTGATGATGTAACCCCTTTTAAAAAAATGAAAAAATCGAAAAAAAAATGTTCGATATTCGATTTTTCTAATTTAAATGTCATTTGAAACTTCTTTAAAAACCATAGATAAAAACGTATGACATTCCATGATAGGACTTTTTTAAGCCAAGTTATGAACATTTGAATTAAGAGGTTTCCGGTGATTTCTGATGTGCATCAAGTTAGCAGGGCAACTTTGGAAAATCAAATTTTTGACTATACCATAATTTGCCGTTAATTATTCGTTAATTATTCGTGAAAGAAAAAAATTTGCCGTTCAATTTTTTAACTTAATTTTTTAATGTCCTGCTAAGTTGATATCAAGTTAGCAGGGCAACTTCTGAAAACTTTAATATTTCCAAAAACTTTTTTACTCAGAATTTGCCGTTAATTATTCGTTAATTATTCGTGAAAGAATCAAATTTGTCGCTCAATTTTTTATACATTTTTTTTTAATTTTTTAAAAACTCAAAGTTGCCCTGCTAAGTTGATATCAAGTTAGCAGGACAACTCCTGAAATCCTTCACATTTCCAAAAACTTTTTACGCCAGAATTTGCCGTTCATTATTCGTTAATTATTCGTGAAAGAATCAAATTTGTCGCTCAATTTTTTATATTTTTTTTTTTATTTTTTAAAAACTCAAAGTTGCCCTGCTAAGTTGATATCAAGTTAGCAGGACAACTCCTGAAATCCTTCACATTTCCAAAAACTTTTTACGCCAGAATTTGCCGTTCATTATTCGTTAATTATTCGTGAAAGAATCAAATTTGTCGCTCAATTTTTTATATTTTTTTTTTTTTTTTAAAAACTCAAAGTTGCCCTGCTAAGTTGATATCAAGTTAGCAGGACAACTCCTGAAATCCTTCACATTTCCAAAAACTTTTTACGCCAGAATTTGCCGTTCATTATTCGTTAATTATTCGTGAAAGAATTAAATTTGTCGCTCAATTTTTTATATTTTTTTTTATTTTTTAAAAACTCAAAGTTGCCCTGCTAAGTTGATATCAAGTTAGCAGGACAACTCCTGAAATCCTTCACATTTCCAAAAACTTTTTACGCCAGAATTTGCCGTTCATTATTCGTTAATTATTCGTGAAAGAATCAAATTTGTCGCTCAAATTTTATATATTTATATTTTATTTTTTAAAAACTCAAAGTTACCCTTCCATATGAAGTTAGCAGTGCCTCACCATGTACATCTACATGAAAGAAAGATGTATATGTGTAAAAATGTTATAGACGGGCGCCAGCAAGAATTCCAGAAAATTTTCACTGGCGTTCAGCGATCCGTGAAGATTTATAAAAAAATTTTTTAGTTGGCTGCTAAACTTTTTAGTAAAAATATTAAGATTAAAAAATCTTGCTGACATAAATGGGAAATATACGTTTAAAAAAAGGATGGAGTAGATAGTAAATTCATTAAATCTTATGTGCAGATATTTATTTTTTTTTTATTGGCGTCGGTGTCAATGTTAGAGCGTGCAACGTTGTCGACGTCGACGTCGGCGTCGGCGAAGCCGAATTTAAAAAAACACTACTGCCGCAAACATGTTGCAGACAGAGTGGCGGCCATACAATATAAGTCGTTGTTGCAGAATTGTGATCCCGAAACTTTATGATTTCTACCGCCTATCTGACGCCAAAATTTCAGTGGAATTGTTCTTACACAGTTTCACGCACCAATGATCGCAACCGAGAGTCGTCTGGGAAGACTTCATGTGGCGCCTTTACGTCTATTATTTAGTAATATTTACATACATATATAGATCCCTGTATTCTAATATGCAGATATTCCCATCATATACATGGCGCCAGCAAGTCCTTGCCTCAGGTAGTCCAACAATTTGTATGGTCTGGCGTACGCAGGCAGAGGCGCCACATGAAGTCTTCCCAGACGACTCTCGGTTGCGATCATTGGTGCGTGAAACTGTGTAAGAACAATTCCACTGAAATTTTGGCGTCAGATAGGCGGTAGAAATCATAAAGTTTCGGGATCACAATTCTGCAACAACGACTTATATTGTATGGCCGCCACTCTGTCTGCAACATGTTTGCGGCAGTAGTGTTTTTTTAAATTCGGCTTCGCCGACGCCGACGTCGACGTCGACAACGTTGCACGCTCTAACATTGACACCGACGCCAATAAAAAAAAATAAATATCTGCACATAAGATTTAATGAATTTACTATCTACTCCATCCTTTTTTTAAACGTATATTTCCCATTTATGTCAGCAAGATTTTTTAATCTTAATATTTTTACTAAAAAGTTTAGCAGCCAACTAAAAAATTTTTTTATAAATCTTCACGGATCGCTGAACGCCAGTGAAAATTTTCTGGAATTCTTGCTGGCGCCCGTCTATAACATTTTTACACATATACATCTTTCTTTCATGTAGATGTACATGGTGAGGCACTGCTAACTTCATATGGAAGGGTAACTTTGAGTTTTTAAAAAATAAAATAAAAATATAAAAAATTGAGCGACAAATTTGATTCTTTCACGAATAATTAACGAATAATGAACGGCAAATTCTGGCGTAAAAAGTTTTTGGAAATGTGAAGGATTTCAGGAGTTGTCCTGCTAACTTGATATCAACTTAGCAGGGCAACTTTGAGTTTTTAAAAAAAAAAAAAAAATATAAAAAATTGAGCGACAAATTTGATTCTTTCACGAATAATTAACGAATAATGAACGGCAAATTCTGGCGTAAAAAGTTTTTGGAAATGTGAAGGATTTCAGGAGTTGTCCTGCTAACTTGATATCAACTTAGCAGGGCAACTTTGAGTTTTTAAAAAATAAAAAAAAAAATATAAAAAATTGAGCGACAAATTTGATTCTTTCACGAATAATTAACGAATAATGAACGGCAAATTCTGGCGTAAAAAGTTTTTGGAAATGTGAAGGATTTCAGGAGTTGTCCTGCTAACTTGATATCAACTTAGCAGGGCAACTTTGAGTTTTTAAAAAATTAAAAAAAATGTATAAAAAATTGAGCGACAAATTTGATTCTTTCACGAATAATTAACGAATAATTAACGGCAAATTCTGAGTAAAAAAGTTTTTGGAAATATTAAAGTTTTCAGAAGTTGCCCTGCTAACTTGATATCAACTTAGCAGGACATTAAAAAATTAAGTTAAAAAATTGAACGGCAAATTTTTTTCTTTCACGAATAATTAACGAATAATTAACGGCAAATTATGGTATAGTCAAAAATTTGATTTTCCAAAGTTGCCCTGCTAACTTGATGCACATTGATTTCTGGGCTTTTGCAAATTTGGGAATTTGGAAGATTTTTTTTTAATATTTGGTTACATCTCTGTAAGGTGTATCTTTTGGATAACAACAGAATAGATAGAATTAAAAGTACGTTACTGAACATTATCATGAGGATTTTAGGCTTCCTCTTTCGTAGTTAAGATAATTATAATATCCCTATATCTTTTCTGAGATTAACTCTCATGGGAGCTAAAATTCCACTCAAAGTTCAATATCACTCAAAAGGGAGCAAACATTCGGCAGCGATGGGAAGGAAGGTGGAGAAAGGCAGCGGAAGAAAGATGTGGAGAGTCAGCAAAGAAGAAAGAGAGAGAGAGAAAGAGAGAGCAAGGGAGATGGAGACGGATGGGCATGAATGAAGATGCAAATGAATCCACAAAATATTTAAGGTTAGCCTTAATATTTCACATGCACTGAGCAGAATCCAGTAAACAAATAATAATTTATCATATAAATTATTATTTACAATACATTTACTTTTAATATTAAATATAAAAGCAAAAGTTTGAAAAATCAAATCAAAGATGAGAAAGCAATACCAACAGTACGTATACGTAATATAGAGTTTTCAGTTACTACAAATCCAGAATCCAGTAAATAAAAAATAACATTTATGTACCATTCATAAAAACATAATTACAAATTTATTTTTAATTTAATAGCAAAATTTTTAAAAATTTAATAAAAATGGTTAACAAAAAAACAACAGTGCGTATACGTAATATAATTGATTCAAGTACATTACGTATACGTAGTTTTGGTAATATTACGTTTTCCATTTATAGCAACATAATTAATAATTCATTTTAAAATTAATATCAAAAGTTGTAAATATATTATAAATTTGGATAATAAAAAACAACAGTGCGTATACGTAATATAATTGATTCAAGTACATTACGTATACGTAGTTCTGGTTTAATATTACGTATACGTAAATTTTCTATTTTACGATATAGTATTTTATTGTTAAAAAAACTAAAGAAATCACTCTTATATTAGGAAATCTTGCTGGTAAACTGCTCACACATGATCATCTATTAATTGATCAATCTATAAAGTATTTTGTTTTTCACCAGAAATTGTAACTCAGTGAAACCTTTTTTCGACCTTAAACGGATCGAGTTTCTTTTCTTAATCGTATATAATAATAATATTTAATTTACTTACGATATATCCGGACATTTTGTCGCAGTGCATAAGGGTCTGGGTCTGTCAGTCATTCACGCGATCGTCTTTGGGGACACGTAAGGTCTCTCTCTGAAACAGAAAGAAGAAGAAAAATTAAATAAAAAATGAGAAATGAAAAATGGAAAATAAGAAATAAGAAATAAGAAAAAAATAAATATATAAACCTGTCGCCTTTTGCACCTCACATTTCCCCGCTCGAAGCCCTCGAAGCCTCCGTGGTCGGTGTGTGTCTTAATGAGAAAAGTGAAAGTGTCAAGAAATGGGCAAACCGGCAGCGAGGCCCACAAAAGGTTCAGTTAACAGTGAATAAATAAAGACACGATACGAAATTCAGTCAGAAATCAAAGCGATTAGCAAAGCTCGAGCTCTTGGGGTTATCAATTAGCTAACCGATAACCGAATTGAGCCCAATACACATGAGATATATGTATATTATATCTGGGAGCATGGGAACTGTCATTGGCCAGATGATCTTCAAGGTTTAGATAGATAGAAAATAAAGGAAGGAAATTCATTAGCCACACGTCACTTGTTTATTTTTCTTTTGGATTATAATATATCTACATTTTATATAGAGTTTCCCCTTGGATAAATTGAAATCAGGTCAACCGCAATGTTATTTGGCAATATTTTTGATTTATTTTATCGGGAACATCTTAATTACTTACTAATTTTTGTGAATTTTTAATAGGTCCACTGAACCTTGAAAATTGTCATATATTTGTAAGAAAAAGATAACAACAAAGATACATTTTTCAGCATCTGCTCATGGATTGTTATTATTACTATTATTATGTTTATACATTTTCTGGAGTCTTTGAAAACTATCTTTGATCTGAAAACCCTAATATTAAATCTTAATGCCTCAACATGTTGTTAGAAATAGATTTCTTATATATTTTAACTACTAATTCAGATTCTCCAGGTAATGCTCTCTCAACAATAAGTCTTGACACTTTAGAAATCATTCGACCAAATATTTTGTTGCACAAAAAATTTTATTTTTGGATCACTCATTGAGCTCATTTGTTCAGTTTTTCTTTAGTTTTTTTTTGTATTTTTTTTATTGTTTTAATGCCATTGTTGATGTTACTGTTGGCTGTTAATTGTTTTTGTTGCTGTTTGTGCCTGGTCTTGCGTCACGTTTGACACTTTGACCATGAACGCATTTCTTGGCAAAAGGAAAACCGCGGCCGCTGGGAGAGAGCTCGGGCATGGATTTTGGAATGAAATTGCACCGAATGTTCGGTCGTAACTCTTGGTTATATTTTTATATTTTTTTTGGTTTTTATCTCAACTTCTTTCCTCATCTGGCGCCGTTTTATTTCGTTGTTTTTTTCTCGTATTTTTTTTATAATTACTTCATTTGCAATCTCTCGTGAGGCAATAGAAGAAACTACCGTTAATTAAAAACGCAAACGCACGGCCAAAATGAGCGCACAGGTTGCGTGAGTAAGCGGGACAGAAGACGGGACAGGTGAGTGTGTGCACTGAGAGCAAAAGTTGTCTTCAAAGAGACAATTTCTTAGACAAATCAGAGTTTAAAAATCTCATAACTAAGCCAAAAACGCATTAATTTCAATTCGGAAAGCGGCAGAATGCTAATTTTTAGCAGGTTAATAAAACTGCATACTCCATTTAAAACGTGAATTTTTTGCCGATTTTTGCAGATTTTCATGATGTAACCCCTTTCCTTTTTTTCCGAAAAATGGGAAATTTCTGAAAAAAGATTTTTTCGGCCGGATAAAGCTAGAAAGAAAGCCCTGTAGATGCTGATCAAGAATATATATGATTTATAGGGTCGGAAATGACTCCTTCACTTTCTTTTAAGCTTCTGACTGAAGGCCCATTACCATTTTTGTACCGATATTAACAATATTTTTATTTGAAATTTTTTGACAAATCAAAATTTAAAAATCTCATAACTAAGCCAAAAACGCATTAATTTCAATTCGGAAAGCGGCAGTATGCTAATTTTTAGCAGGTTAATAAAACTGCTTACTCAATTTAAAACGTGAATTTTTTGCCGATTTTTGCAAATTTTCATGATGTAACCCCTTTCCTTTTTTCCGAAAAATGGGAAATTTCTGAAAAATTTTTTTTTCGGCCGGATAAAGCTAGAAAGAAAGCCCTGTAGATGCTGATCAAGAATATATATGATTTATAGGGTCGGAAATGACTCCTTCACTTTCTTTTAAGCTTCTGACTGAAGGCCCATTACCATTTTTGTACCGATATTAAGAATATTTTTATATGAAATTTTTCGACAAATCAAATTTTAAAAATCTCATAACTAAGCCAAAAACATAGTCCAAAATAGTGTAGAATATTATTCACCCAAAAATAAAATTACAAACCACTTCTAATATTGTTAAACATATAAAAAATAATAAAATAACAAAATATATCTTTCTCTCAGTGCATAGAGAAGAGAGAGAGAGAGAGAGAGAGAGAAGGTAAAGGTAAAGGTTCGCTGTTATAACAGCGGCGCCAAAATATTTTCACTTGACTTTTGCGGCTCTGGTTTTTATGGCCCCCACCGAAGTTCACCGGGGAACTCGGCTGGCATCTGATCAGAGCGGATCGGATCGGCCAGAGGGGGGCCGCAGGGGGTGCTGGGGGGACTGGGGAGACTACTACGGAGTAATCGTTATGCAATGGGGAGAAAATTGACAATAAAACAAAGCGCAAAATATACAAACAAAACCGCGTGAGAGACTGCGGCGACACAGAAACTGCAATGTCACTTACCCATTATGAATGGCCGGGAAAAAGGCGGGGGAAAAGGGGCGTGGATGCTGCCAAGTGAAGCCTCATAATGGACGACGGACAGACGGACAGACGGACAGGTGGCAAAACTGTGCCAAGCTGTAATCACTCCGAAAGCGACAACTAAAAAAATGCGTGCGGAGGCTGCACTTAAAACTTGAAATAAATACATATGTAATCCACACAAAGGTTAACCTTTGCCCAAATGAATTTCACCAAGAAAAGGCATAAAAAATATTAAGGAAAAAAACAGGATACAAAAATATATGATAAGGTTAGAACAAAGATAAAAAATAATAATAAATTATGCTCAATATAGATAATTGATTGATGATTTGAATAACGATATACATTTGTATATATTTATTAAAGCATAAGAAAGCTTTTATTCATTAAACCTTATTTTAATTAAAGCCAAAAAGTATGCCTGAATTCGTTTTGGTAAAAGGCTTATAGGAAATACACTTATGGGACACCTTTCCTATTAAAAAATATATATAGAACGAGGGGGAATTTAATCTCCGATCATTCTTATTGCAGCTACAGTCCTTCGGAAAATTTTTAGATACAAAAAATTTAAATTTTTACAGTTTTGAACATTTTTTTAAACGGTTATTAAATGTAGAGGCACGCTTACATTTTTAAACCCTAGCATTGTCCAATTGGATCTTTAAAAATCAATCAATTTGCTAACCAGAAAATAAGAACCAAGAGAAGATAAATACAACATTTATACATAAGAAAGTAATTCGATTTTGATAAAATTTAAACCACTATTTTAAAATCCTGCAAAATATTTATATCTTAAATTACAAAACCATGCAACAGTATAATTAAACTAGTAATAGTATTATTTAGTACTATATAAGTTAAGTTTCATTAAGGTTCCCTTGCATTTCTTCCCATTTACCAATTCCCAACAAAAGAAAAAGGTAAACAAAGGCAGCAGCTTCCAAATGCCAAAAATTCGCAGCGCCAAGAGAGGATCGTACTCTTTAAGCGCCTCTCTCGCTCTTAGATTTCACTTTCCATGCTAAGAACAAATAAATAAGGGCAGGGGAGGAAAAAAATGCACACGTGCAAAAGCAGAAAAGCCAAAGGAGAAGAGAAAAAAGAAAAAAGTTTTGTCTCACTCACCCGCATACATTCGTTGCTGCTGCTGCCGATCCTAACGGTGAATTTGCTGCGGATCCTAACGGCGAATTGGCTGATGGAGACACAGACACACACACACACACACACACAAGAAAAAAAGCTAAAGAAAAAGCCTTCTTATTGGACATTTGTTACACTTGCACATTAAAAAAAGAACAAAAAAAGTTAACTAGCCTTAGAAAACGCACTTCTTCTGGCTATGCACGTACACATACATACACACATATGCATACATATTTGTGTATACGTGGTTTGGCTAGCTGAAAAAAAATCCACGACGGCGGCCCGGCTTGGGACTCCTTTGAGTCCCAGCTTCGCTTGCACTTTTCACTGCCGGGACTCGACGATTTTCCACACTTTCCACACTTGCCACTGGTTTTCCCGCACTTTTACCACCTTCCACTGACTTTCCGCCGTAGTTTTCCACGTAATTTGAGGTTTTTATCCGCAGCGATCAACCTGCTCAGCCAATTTTTCGTTTATTATGTCTTTGCCGTGTTCTTTTCGCGCGCGTTTTGTCGTCTGTTATGTTAACATGATCCTGGAATTCAACAGACCGATGTTAGCTTGACATTTTAACATGTGTAGATAACAATTAGACATGTAAACAGATACATGGGGAAGGGTTCTCACCTTTGGGGGTGTAATTCCAATGTAGGAAGTAGAATAAATTAACAGATATGGAGATGAGGAGTGTAAGTTAACATTAGGTCGACCGGCGGCGTATTTCCAATGGCCGCCGTGAGAGTCGCTGCGCCGTATTGGAATTCGGCAAGAGAACGACAAGCGGGGCAAAAGAGCGGATACGGCGATTTCGTCAATATTAGCTCGCCTCTTTCTTATTGGAAGATTTGATTACTAAGTAAATATGATCAGTAAGTATGTATGATTAGTTACTAACTTTGAACACTAGTAAACAATGACTTGCACCTTTTGTAACACAACACATTTCTGAAACGTGGCCGGCAGCAGTCACTTCGTTCCGGGGAGGTGAGAACAAGTTGGGAATCATAAGCACAGATGTGCGAGTATTGTTTTGGAGCTATTTCAATGAATCTATGGAGTTAATCTTCTATATAATTTTACTAGTATATAAATCTGATCATGGCGGATCGGTGGACTATATATATATACATATATATAGCTGCCGTAGGAACGATCGGAAGTTTTTAAGAAAAAAATAACTATGATCAGCAATTAACTATGAGCAGTGAGTATCTATGAGCAGTAAGTAACTCTGAACAGTAAGTATCTATGACCAGTAAGTATCAATGAACATTAAGTATCAATGAACATTAAGTTACTATGATCAATAAGTAACTATGATCAGTAAGTATGGATTATCACTTACCAACTTTGAACACTAGTAAACAATGACTTGCAACTTTTGTAACACAACACATATCCGAAAGGTGGCCGGCAGCAGTCACTTCGTTCCGGGGAGGTGAGAACCAGTTGGGAATCACAAGCTCAGATGTACGAGATTTGTTTTGAAGCTATTTCAATGAAACTATTATTAACTATTATTCTTTTATATAATTTTACTAGTATATAAATCAGAGCATGGCGAATCGGTGGACTATATATATACATATATATATATATATATATATATATATATATGTATATATATATATATATATATATATATATATATAAATCTTGGTACAAAATGAATTTAACGGAAATTCGAGTTTAATCATTATCTGCTTCTCTTTGATATGTTTGTGCTTGTTTATTATTCCGACAAAAATTAATTTGTCACAGACTTGGATACTAGGATACATTTATAGTTATACAAAGTATCAATACAAGGTATATAGTATGTGTATACAGATATATCACTAGCTCTACTTAGGTCTAACACTTGGTATGTGTATAGCTGTGTATAATGTCCTTCTAAAGCTGAATATGTGGGTGTACGTACCTATACATCTTCGATATATAAATAAATATATATACTCTTTACTATATAGTTGCTGGGTTGGTATATATATATACTGGTATAAAAAAAACGACGTCTAGCAAAACAAAACTCCATATAAAACGACATCGAGCACTAAACAGTTAACATCAAATTTCGTTACATTTTCGTTCCTTTCCTTTTTTGGTAGCACTAGTTTCGGTCTCAATTTCGGAAGCAACTTTGAGTCCTTAGGCTATATACTATATATATCGGAATTATCACAAATGCTTATGATCTAGGCTAAGAAAAAAAAAAAATCATAGCAAATAGTTGGACGCTTCAAGCGTGCAAGGATCGTCGTGTAATGCCGCGCCGCCGGGCCTTCGACCAGCTCTGCTCCTCGGCGCTGGCAAAGATCAGGTAGATAAAGTTTCCCGCTATATTCAGTCCGGCCGCCAGCCAGAAGACTACATGCCACTGGGTCAGCGTCTCGCGATGATTGATGATCAAACCGATGACATAGGGGGCCAGGAAGCCACAGATATTCGCCGCTGAATTGGTGATTCCATACATTGTGCCCGCATACCGCGGGCTAAGGGCTATGTGATTCATCTGATTGCCAGCATATACGGCACCGCCGAAGGATCCAACGCCGGCAAGCATGAAGGTGACCCAGACCCAGTCGCAGCCCACATAGATGATGCCGATCAGGCCTAGTGATGGAACCACCGAGGCCACCGTATTCCACAGCTTGTACGAGTTCAGGAGCGAGATATAGCGCCTGGCCAGCATCCAGTCGGCGAGGGCAGAGCAGGCGATGCCCACGAACCAGGCGGTCAGGTAGGGAACTGCATTGAGCAGGGCGTTCGACTGGATGTCAAAGTGGAGGATGTTGCTCATGTAGGTGGGCAGCTCCGTAAGTTGCGTGTAGAAGGCCCAGCCCTGGCCGCATTGCGTCAGGAGGATGGCCCACAGGGGCACGGATGTGAGCAGCGAACGCCAGGGTATGGGTTCCTCCACAGGTAGACGCTGTGTCCTCGATCTGTCCGGAACTGCAAGCACTTCCACCTCGGCCTGAATGGCCTGCTCCTCCTCCTCCTCATCTTGCTCGTCCTCCAGATGTGTATTCGCCTCGCTAAACACCTTTAGACTCCGCTCTATGTATTCCCTTTCCGCACACGAGATCCTGGGATGATCGGCCGGTTTGTCGTACACCAGATACATCCAGCAGATGAACCACAAGATGCCCAACAGTCCAAAGATATAGAAGGCCGACGGCCAGCCGCCAAGAAAGTCCAAGGAGCAAAGCCAACCGGCCAGGGGCATTGAGATGACAGTGCCAATGTTGGATCCAGCATATACTACAGCTGCAAACTTGTTCCTCTCCAGCGGCGGTATCCAGTGGGCTAGCATGGCGTGCATGGCTGGATAGGTGACGCCTTCGCCCATTCCTTCGAGGATGCGGACCAGCACCAGCAGCGGCAGATCCCAGTGTGCGGCCAGCGGTGTCAGGAGTGTGAATAACGCTGTTATTAGCACACCATAGCCATAGATCTTCTTGCCGCCGTACAGCTCCGCCATCCGGCCGCCGGGCACTTGGGTGAGCACATAGCCATAGAAGAAGCTGCCAAGGACCAAGCCCTGCGTGGCCTCATCCCATACAAATTCGCCCTCCTTCTGCGGATTGATGTTGCTGTCATTGCGATTTGGTTCTGGCATGGGACACGTATCCGAATCCACAACGGAGGAGTTGGTATGCGGAATGGCGGTTTGATTGACCATTGCCACAATGGCCACCGAGAGATTGACCCGCATGGCATAGACGACGGCAAAGCCCAGGAAGCCCATGAAGCCGAAAATGTGACGAGTCTTGAAGCCACAGCAGGCATCGTTGTCTGTGGAAAGAAGAAATCATTATTTAGGAGGCGTATTTATATAGTTTAGTTGTCGATTTACATGGAAAGCAAGTATATATTGTGAAATATAGTAACATATTAACTTATTTGTGTTTTTAAGTTTTTAGTAATTAACCTGGTTTAGTTTTCCTTCGGTTTAACTTTAGTTAGTCTTACAGTTTGTGTGAAATGCTCTGAACTCATTAAAATTCTATGAATTTAAGAACCAGAAAATTACAGAAAGATAGATATAACTATGTATAAAATATGTAATCTCTGAAACTAAGAACCATATAAATAACCCAGAAATAAGCTTTAATCTTTGCAACTATAAATTACATTTACATATCTATTTTTTAATAAATACTAAAATACTTTTGATATGTGTTAAATATAATAACCAATGTAATAAAAACCCAATTTGTCAGAAAAATAAATGCAAATATCTAGTAATTTGTTTTAAATATTGAAAACTACATAAATAAATATCTGAATAATTATATAACAAACTAAATAATATTAATATGATTATGTGAGACTTCAAATATATATTCCACTTTGTAAATCGTTAATATTTCTTTATATTCTCTATTTTCACCCGCATATCTTATCTACACTCACCCTCCGCACCTCCTGCGCCGCGGGAACGGATCAGCGGTCGTTCGCCGGAGCAAAACGCCTCCCGCTCGTCATCAGCCTCGTCATCGGACCTTTCCTGGGACCCCGTGGAGTTCGACGAGGACGAGGGTCGCCGGAAACGGGAGGCAGTTGAGTCCGGGTAATAGCAGGAGGCGTCCCGCGACTCATCCGTCCACTTGTGCGGCGGCATCTGGTGGCCTTTCTCTTACTGGAACTGCAGATGGAGCTGGAGCTGGAGCCAGCACATTTTCTGGACCAGCAGGGCGAGTGGAATAAATACTTGGAGCTGGGAGCTGTCGTCTAGCTGAAGCGGGAGCGGTACAAACAGCCGGAGTTTGGACACAGAGCAAACGGACGACGACGACAAGACCTCAGTGGGAACCAGCGCAGACTGACACAACACAACTGGCGCAACAACAAAAAACCTAAACAAAAGCGCCAACAAACGTTGCTTCTAACCACAAGAGGAACGAGGGGAGCATGGACGTGGTGGGTGGGATTTTCCAGAGGGATAGTGTGTGTTCCGTTATTTTTAATTCAGAATAAATAAATAATAAAACGAGACTATTTGGAAATTTCAATGAAAAAAATTTCACTTAAAAGGGTTAATTCTTTATACCCTTGTCCCTACGCTCATGGACAAATAGTCATCAGCTTGCTCGCTCTCTCTCTCTCTCCAGTTAGACGCTCTCTCGCTCTCACAGCTGTGTGAAAGTGGAGCAATGGCAGCCAAGTGAGCTACAGAGAGAGAGAGAGAGAGAGCTGCAGAGAAAGGGGGGTGTGAGTTGGATAAAAGAGAAAGGGGGCGACTCTGGTGAGAGAGAGGGATAGACAATTGTTTTAAATATCTTTCTTTAGTAACAGCTTGTTTTCCACACACACACACACTCACCCACCCACCCACTGGTTGCATTAGACGAGGAAATGATAAACACAAAGCTTAGATAGTTGAAATCTAAATGGGAACTATCGTACTTGTAACTAAACTTGCAAAAGGTTTTACTGCCCACAACAACAACAACACCAACAAACTCGAAAATAAAAGAGCGAAAGCCCAAGACATTTGCACAGACACACACAAGCATAGCCGTGGCCAATACATTAGCTCCGGGTACTAAACAGTGAGTAACAAAAGCTCTAATATACTACGTGGACTTGATTTAAATACAAAAGAAAGAGAAAAATAACTTAGAAATACTTAAGTATCTTCATCTCTACAAATATGTTAGTTCTACGTTTTACGACAGGGAAAACTACTAGGAAAATTATTAATATTACTTTTAAATAATTTAAAACACAAACTACCACTTCCTTTCATTAGTTTTACAATAATTATGTTTAGTCTGTGCTAATATCTTGACTACAACTGTACCTGCTAGTGTGCCCCGTTCAACTGCTTGGTCTTGCACTGCTTGCTCGGAGGTGTGTTGTCAAGCAGAACGAACCTGGATGCTCCTTTTGAGGCTCTGCGAGAGTTTTCCTTTCATTGCGCATGTCGGGGAAAATGCCTGTTGCTTGCTGTACGTAGCTGCTGGACCTATCCCAATGACCCATGATTGTGATTCAGGACGAGATTTGTTAAGGGTTTTGTGGTATTTCAATATAAAAAAGAAGAGTACAAACAGTTTAAAAGCTTTAAAAGAGGTAATTTCAAAGTAATTGCTGATCAAGCACCTGGCTTTGTTTACTGGAAGTCCTCCTGCTGCTCGTGATGGCTTTCCAGGGTTCAGTTTCTAGTTGGCAAAGATTGTGCCCACGGGAAAGACAACGATCTTTCGCTGACCATTGCCCAACGACAGGGATTCATAGTGATAGTTCTTCACAAGGGCCACGTCGTTGCGGTCCGCATCGAAGGATGCCTTGATGGGACTCACATCCGGATTGAAGCAATTGAGAGCCACAACGTTGCCCGGGAGGCGGGGGATCAGTTCGTATGCACTAGCTAGCTTCTCGTTCCACAGGCTCACCTGGCCATAGGGCAGGGGATCTCGCTTGGCCAGCTCGCCGGCCTCCTTGGTGGTGCGGAAAATGTGCAGAGTGACCACACCGGTGGTGGTGATGCCATCACCCAGGTAACTGTGCACGCAGTCATAGACCAGCAGCGGCGACTCCTCGCCCGCCTTCAGGTTCTGTCCTCTGACCACCTTGGCCTTCAGCTGATCGATCTTGGCCAAGGTCTTGGCATAACTGGGATGCTTGGCCACGTCGCTGGCGAGCGGTCGCAGATCCTGGGCCACAAGACCCACAAACTGATCGGCCACGCTCTCCTGGAGCAGCAGTGTGGCCACCGAACCGGCGGCGAAGGGATTCTGCAGGGACTGGAGCAACTGCTGGCGGGCAGAGTGGAGATCACCGTCCGCAAAAACGACCATCAGTTGGGGCGATAACCACTTGCCATCGCTGGGGTCGTCTGTGGAGTCAAAGGTGTCAAGGTTATGTCTGATATTCGCTCTGAACTGAAACACTGACCTTGACTTCCTGCTTCCTGGCCTGGTCCAGTTGCAGCTCGTTGACCATGTTGCTGGTGATCTTGACTGGTGCTACGACGTTGTTGTTGCTGGCCATGCTCTGCTACAGCTCCTGATTTACAAAACTCACTCCGATATGATCAATGAAACGCACAAAACAGATTTCTTATCAGCTTCGGAAACCAACGCGATCATGCCAGTGTGGCCAGTTTAGCTTACTTCAGATAAGATCAACATCATAAAGCTTACAGCCTTTTAAATAGATGATTATAAGTTTCATTATAGAACACTAGCTATTTTTGTGTTTCTACTTTGATTTTATGTCGTCTTAGTGGTTAGTCTTTATTTAGTATACTGTTAATTAATAAATTAACAATTAATATCTCTGGCCAAGTTTTACTATCGATTTGTTATCGATTCTTGCATGTGCTCGCACTTGGTCACGCGTTATGGCATTTTCTAGAACATACTGAAGCGCCGGCATTTTTTACAACAAGTTGGTAGCACTGCATTGTATTTGCTCGAAGTTTCTGTTCTCAAATTTGTATTAATAAATAACATGGAAACGGTAAGCCGACACCCGTTAAAACTTAGGAACTTTAATTCTCAAACCCTCTGCTTTCTCCACCGCAGCTAAAGAACGATGTGGCGGAGCTGACCGCGTTCCTGGAGCAGGCCAAAAGCGTGCGCGTCAGAGGCGTGCTGACCGCAGCCAAGGCGGAGGCCGAGCGGGAAATTGTTAACCTGGAGATGAAGGCGCGCATTGCGGCCGAACGCGAGGCAACGGGCACGGAAGCCAAGAGGTGAGTGGGGCCAAGTAGTTCCTGCTGTGCTCTCCAGACTCATTGTTTCGTACTCCTCGCAGATATCTGCACGAACTGACCGACTATGGCTGGGACCAGAGTCCCAAGTTTGTGAAGCTCTTCATTACGCTAAACGGTGTCCAGGGCTGCACGGAGGAGGATGTGACTGTCAACTATACGGAGAACTCGATGCAGCTGCATGTCCGCAATCTCAATGGCAAAGACTTTGGCCTGAGCGTCAACAATCTGCTGCACGGCATTGATGTGTCGAAGAGCTATCGCAAGATCAAGACGGACATGGTGGCCATCTATCTGAAGAAGGCGAAGGAGGGCGAGAACTGGGAAGTCCTTACGTCCATACAGAAGCGACTTAAGCAAAAGCAGGACACCGAAATGGGCAAGGACAGCGATAATGCCGAATCGGCGCTAGTTAACATAATGAAGAAAATGTACAATGATGGCGATTCCAAGACCAAACAGATGATTGCCAAGGCCTGGACTGAGAGTCAAGACAAGGCCAAGATGGGCGGCGGACCTGGTGCAGGACTGGATGGTTTTGGAGATCTCTAGGACCGAATGAGAACTACTTGTAAAAATTTCCTTACTGCTTCGATTCCAGCACACAAAATGTGAATAAATAAAGCTAAATAAGTTTAAAAAAATGTCTTTGATTTATATATATATATATAATTGTTTTTGTATATGTATAGGTTTTATTACTTAAATTCTTCGTGATTAAAATCATTGAATTAATTATTATGCTGCTAATCTCTATATTCCATTTGTAATAGTTAGTTTGCTTTCGAAATTAATTGATAATTATACATTCTCTTTCTTTCTTGTATTTAAAATACACTTTATATGTTCAAAGATATATATTTATATATTATATATGCTTCTCAATCGAAATCTTTTGCCAAATCAATTGCTTAATTGTCTAGAAATATTTTTAACGCCCACGGGTCCAAGCACTAACTCTGTGTAGTCTGTGTTTTATGTGTCTGTGCTGTGTGTATTCGAACAATTAAATTGTTATTCATTTATTTAATATTATAAATTGGTATCCATTTGGTTTATAATCAAAAAATCAACTCACAAATCTAGTAGAATGAAAATATAAAACAAAAAAAAGCTGAATAATAAAACAAAAAGAGACTAAAACTCTCGCTTTCAAACTCTGAACATTAAGGCCTATACAAAGGTGAAAAAAAAACACAATTTACAATCTATATAATATATATAATATAATATATATATAATATATATATACATATATAGTTACGATCCATAGGTACGCTGTATATGTACTAAACTATATATATGTTAACATTGAAAAAAAAGCATAATAATAATAATAATCATACTTTGGCAGGATTGCCACAGAAATCGCTGATAACTTGTACATTAATTAATTAACAGCGTTTTTTGTGACAGTGCTGCCTGTATGAAGGGTATCTGAAAATTATCCTATATACTTCTTCCATCAAAAGCTATAAGTTTCTCAAGTTATTTAAGGGTTTTTAATTAATTTTTTTTAAGTTTTGTGAACGTTTCTTCTTGTTTTGTGTGTATTTTATCTCATGTGTTGTTTTGTTGCTTTGCAAATACAGTGCGAGTTCTTCTGCTCTTTTGATTTAATAACGATAACAAATTCGAACTAAATGTCCTTAAAGTGTGTCGCACTGTATCATCATCCTCCAGTGATGTGTGTGTGTGATGCAGATTTTGGTTTTGTATTTTTTGTGGCTGTGAGGAGCGTCGTGCTGCATTTCCTAGCTATTAACCCTAAGCGAATCCCTTTTTCCTTTTCATTTCCCATTTTCTCAGGACTTTCTTGTATATAAAAGTCGTGAGTTTTGCCTAAAAGCTTTCCTACATTCTCTTTTTTATCATCACCTTTTCCTTTGATTAAACGTACAAAAATAAATATCCGAATCCGAATCTGAAGAATTGAGATATATGTTGTTGGCTTTAGCTTTAAAAATTTCTAGAAAACTATTTTCTATATATGCGATATATCAGAAAAGCCGCTGGGGATTTGAAAAATTATTATTTCAAAAACTTGTCTTTTCTCCATGAATTTTCCAAAACCACAGCGACTTACTGGGGCACCCCTGATACATGTCTTATTTCTGCTTTTTTTTTAAGTTTTAAAATTCCTGTTTTCTAAGGCCTAAAAACAACACAAAAAAAATGGATTAAAATTTTTCTTTACTCGAGTCTCAAATTTGGATTGTATATATCGGTTATATTCTCATTCATTCGATTGCCCTCAGCGTTAGCATATCCCGTGCAGAATATATATTTTATATATTATTTAAAAATGCAAAATAAATGTTTCCAGTTTGATTATAGTTCTTTGGAAATATTTATATAGATAAGTAGACAGAGAGAGAGAGAGTTATTGGCGGAAAGTGATTTAAATAGCGACGGTTACAGGGAGTGTTTGATATATATAGAACAAGGTTGCCACAGAAATCGCCTGGAAAATAATCTTGGGACACCTCAGCAATTTCTGTGGGCACCCCTGGCATTGGAAACATAAAATATTTACTTGGATAGAGGTAAATGCTGCTAAAACAAAGTATCTCTGGCTGCTAGGGATCCAAAACCACTTCCTATATCCTGTTTCTGTCTGTCTTTTGAGGCAGTTTCAGTTTTTTTTTTGCTTTCTTCACTCGACGTTTCCCCCCCTGATCCTGATTCCGATTTCTGGCTAAGGCTCTTCCCCTGGATTCTCCTCCACACACACACACACACACGCACGCCCAGGCAATTCCTAGCTTGGCTTATTAATCCTGACTTGACCTATGTGTTGTAACTACTACCCCCAAATCCCCATTTCCCATTACGCTCCCCCCATCTCCATCTCGTTACGGAGGCTTTTCAAAAACCCTCGGCTTGGCTTGGAAACGGACGTGGTTCACCGGGACGCTTGGCGTCCTTCGGCGCTGCTAGTAAAGCTCTGTATGCTGACGCACTGGCGCTGGGATCTTGGACATTCCTCTCTCACGCCTGGGCGATACCACATTGGCGGCTCCATTTCCCGCTCCTGCTCCTGCTCCTGCTCCTGTTCCTGTTCCTGAATTCGAATGATTGCTCTCACAGGAGCTGGCAGCTGAGCTGCGCTTGGATCGAGCCTTGGCTGGTGGCGAACAGCTCTCCGAACGCTCCAGATTCCCACTGCTGTGCACCCAGGCCGTGGTAAAGTCCTCATAGACGGGAGTCTTTTTGCCATTTACCTTGCTTGTTGTGGATCCTGATCCCGTGCCTGTCTTGGCTTGATTTCCGGCAGCATAGCGTGACAGCAATGACTTCATTTTCTCCAGAATCTGTGCATCATTCTTGGCACTGCTGGCTGCCTCCAGGAGTTGCTGGGCCAACGGCGACGAGGCATGATTTTTTACTGGAGATGTGGTCAGGGAACTGCTGCATCCAGCTCCACTCCTCACGCGCCGTCCATTGCTGTCGTACAGGATCTGTGAGGAGCGTCCCTTGCCATTACGTTCAAAGGGTCCGGCTCCAGCTCCGGGGAGTGTGTTTCCGGCTCCCGCTGCCTGCTGCCCATTGGGGGCCACAAATGTTTCGGCCGTGCAGGTGGGACGCCTCTTTGGTGCCCCTGTAGCAGCCCGTCCGCTCCACGTATTGGTCGCATCCCGGACCATGGGCAGCTGGGTGGCCTGACGGGAACGAGGAGGCGCCACTACAGGATTGGCTGCCTGAGAGCTGCGCGTACGCACAGATCTATACACCGGCTGTTTGCGGCTAAAAGCTGGCGCCAGAGTTAGGGATGGCAAGCCCGTGGAGCGACTGCTTAAGTCCTGGAGACTGCCACCGGCTCCGCGACAGGTGCTGTTGTCAATGCTTCGCCGGCGACGTTGGGCCAGCGGTGAGCGGGGTATCTTGCTAAGAGTGGCAGCAGTTGGCGGAGACTGTTCCTGTTCCTCCTGGTTGGTCTTGGCCATGTCCACAGTGATCTCATCGTCGGTGATAAAGACTCCGGACTGCTCAAACTTGTCATTGTTATTGTTGTTGTTGTTGTTCATTTTGTGGCTGCTGAGAATGGCTGGCAGGGATTGGGGGCCATCGCATATGGAGTAATCCTCTTCCTGATCCTGTTCGTGATCGTTTAGTAGTTCCTGGTGCTCCTCCTGTAGCATATCCACCGCCGTCTTCTCCGCGGGCTCCTCTGAGGGCGAGATCTGCGAGTCACTGGAGGTCTGATCTAGACGCGCTATGAAAGGATTAAGAATATTTAAGATTTAGTAGGGAAAGGTCAGAAATGATATCCTCCACGACTCACCATTGGTTTCAGCGTCCTCGATGGAGGCCTGACTGTGCAGGGATTCACGTTTCTGTGCACTCGACTGGATAACGCCCAGACTGCGATAACCCTCGTCGCTAATCTCGCTCCCATTGTCACTGATGTTCTCGAACTTGTTGGCTCCGCTCTGCTCAGCTCCCGATACCGAGTTTGAAACCGTTCCAGATCCTCCATTCGATACGGATCCAGCGGCCTCCTCCAGCGAGCAACTGTAGCCCCCCGGCAGGGATTTCGGTCCACTGCTGTACGAGTCCAAGGAGTTCTGCTTTTTGCGCATATCAATCAAGCGGCGTGGACTCGGCGACATGGAGCGACGAGCCAGGCTGGGGGATCCGAGCAGCTGATCTGATGTTACGGCCGACGTGGCTGCCAATGAGGCAGTACCTCCATTCGGCGTCTGCTGGTTGAGAAACTTGCGCTGCGGCGTCGGACTGCGGCTGCGATACTTGCCGGAATTGGGCGACAAACTGTGACCATTCTGTGGCGGTGGTGGAGGAGGCGTAGAAGTCACACCAGTTCCAGTTACGGTTGCGGTTGAGCTAAGACCCGATCCTGTACCTCCGCCATTTCCTCCATTTAGAGTGTTGAAAACACGTCGAGCTGTTGGCGGTGACCTGCAAAAAGGCAAAGGAATGTCAAGAGTAAGTAACTTTGATCAGCAATTAACTTTGAACACTAATTAACTACGACCAGTAAGTAACTATGATCAATAAGTAACTCTGAACAGTATGTATGTATGATCAGTAACTAACTTTAATCACTAGTAAACAATGACTTGCAACTTTTGTAACACAACACATATCTGAGACGTGGCCGGCAGCAGTCACTTCGTTCCGGTGAGGTGAGAACCAGTTGGGAATCATAAGCACCGATGTGCGAGAATTGTTTTGGAGCTATTTCAATGAAACTGTGGAGTTATTCTTCTATATAATTTTACTAGTATATAAATCAGAGCATGGCGAATCTGTGGACTATAATTATATATATATATAGCTGCTATAGGAACGATCGGAAGTTTTTAAGAAAAAAATAACTATGATCAGCAATTAACTATGAGCAGTGAGTATCTATGAGCAGTAAGTAACTCTGAACAGTAATTATCTATGACCAGTAAGTAACTATGATCAATAAGTATCTAAGACCTAAAGGCAACTCTGATCAGTAAGTATCTATGACCAGTAAGTAACTCTGATCAGTAATTATCTATAACCAGTAATTAACTCTGAACGTTTAGTATCTATGACCAGTAAGTAACTATGATCAATAAGTATCTAAAACCTGTAAGTAACTCTGATCAGTAATTATCTATGACCAGTAATTAACTCTGAACGTTAACTAACTATGTTAAGTAACTATGATCAATTACTAACTTTAATCACTAGTAAACAATGACTTGCAGCTTTTGTAACACAACACATATCTGAGACGTGGTCGGCAGCAGTCACTTCGTTCCGGGGAGGTGAGAACCAGTTGGGAATCATAAGCTCAGATGTACGAGATTTGTTTTGGAGCTATTTCAATGAAACTATGGAGTTATTCTTCTACATAATTTTACTAATATAAAAGTCGGAGCATGGCGGATCGGGGGACTATATATATACATATATAAACTTGCCATAGGAACGATCGGAAGATTTTAAGAAAAAACAGTTTGATCAGCAATTAACTATAAGCAGTAAGTAACTCTGAACAGTAATTATCTATGACCAGTAATTAACTCTGATCAGTAAGTATCTATGAGCATTAAGTAACTATGATCAGTAAGTATCTATGACCAGTAAGTATGTATGATCAGTGACTAACTTTGAACACTAGTAAACAATGACTTGCAACTTTTGTAACACAACACATATCTGAGACGTGGCCGGTAGAAGTCACTTCGTTCCGGGGAGGTGAGAACCAGTTGGGAATCATAAGCACAGATGTGCGACATTTGTTTTGGAACAAATTTAAGATCAAACTATTTGAATGAAATTATGGAGTTATTCTTCTATATAATATTACTAGTATATAAATCGGAGCATGGCGAATCGGTGGACTATATATATACATATATAAAGCTGCCATAGGAACGATCAGAAGATTTTAAGAAAAAATAACTATGATCAGCAATTAATTATGAGCAGTGAGTAACTATAAGCAGTAATTAACTCTGAACAGTAATTATCTATGACCAGTAAGCAGTGCTGCCAACTTTTGACCAACAAAAAAAGCTGTTTTCGACGGGAGAAGTGAAAAAAAAAGCTTAAAAAATTTATAAAACAATCCAAAAAAAAGCTGAAACAAATGTATAAAAAATAGAAAAAATTTCAAAAAATATAAAAATTTAATAAGTTCAGTTTTGTTTAATTGATTTCCATAATTTGATCAATTTCTTCATGGTCTTCCTTATTTTCGTAAGACCTAATAGTTCCTATCATCTGCAGATATTTGATTGGCACTTCATAGTCGACGCAGCATTTCCCGACCCTTCGCAATCCGTTTCTGTATATTAAAATAAATATAATGAATATAAATAGAAATGAATATCTTTTGCTTGCACTAGTATGCTTCTTTATTGCAGCGTGAGCTCGCAGATCACTGAGTTTAGCTGTAATAGTAGTCTTGCAATAGTTGCAATAAACCCTTTGCAGGTCTGTGTCATCCCTGCGAATCCATGCCTTAAATTCATCACTTTTAAGCCAGACATCGCGGCATTTTTGTTTATACTCCTTCGGCATTTTAGAACTTGCTAACAATTTACGCGGACTTTTTATATAGAGATGGAAAAACTAAGCGACTTATGAAATTAGCGTATATCTATTAAAACAATCGATACGTCGCTACATTATCTGGTTTGTTCGTAAAGCTAACTTTTTAGCTGCCACTTTTTCATATTTTGTACTTAAGTTTTAACAACACAAAAAAATCGGGAAAAAGCCAATTCAATTTCCAAAAAAGCCAGAATTCCTGCTTTTCACAATTCCCGCAATTCACAAATTTTTCCCGCAGTTAGCCTTAAAAAAAAGCCAGTTTTGACGGGAAAAAATCCAAATTGGCAGCACTGCCAGTAAGTAACTCTGAACAGTAATTATCTATGACCAGTAATTAACTCTGAACGTTAAGTATCTATGACCAGTAAGTAACTATGATCAATTACTAACTTTAAACACTAGTAAACAATGACTTGCAACTTTTGTAACACAACACATATCTGAGACGTGGCCGGTAGCAGTCACTTCGTTCCGGGGAGGTGAGAACCAGTTGGGAATCATAAGCACAGATGTGCGACATTTGTTTTGGAACAAATTTAAGATCAAACTATTTCAATGAAACTATGGAGTTATGCTTCTATACAATTTTACTAGTATATAAATCGGAGCATGGCGAATCGGTGGACTATATATGTACATATATAGCTTCCATAGGAACGATCAGAAAATTTTAAAGAAAAAAAATTACTATGATCAGCAATTAACTATGAGCAGTGAGTAACTATAAGCAGTAATTAACTCTGATCAGCAATTAACTATGATCAGTATTAACTCTGATCAGTAAGTATATATGACCAGTAAGTAACTATGATCAGTAAGTATCTATGATCAGTTACTAACTTTAAACACTAGTAAACAATGACTTGCAACTTTTGTAACACAACACATTTCCGAAACGTGGCCAGCAGCAGTCACTTCGTTCCGGGGATGTTAGAACCAGTTGGGAATCATATGCACAGATGTGCGAGTTTTGTTTTGGACTAACTTAGAATTCTTTCTTGTTAATAATGTAACCCCTTACAAAATTAAAAATACAATGGTTAAATTGGCTTTTTAGGCTTATCAGGCTAAGACTTATAACATAGAATGGGAAACAACTTCTTCACTGCTTTGCCTCAGGACTTTGGGACTCACCTCTCGAATATCACCTGCGCCTTGTGAAGCTCGATCCCGTTGCTGGGATTATGGTTGGGCGACTGGCGTGGCACCAAACGGGCGGCCACAGAGCTACGATGCTGGGCCCGGCATCGGCAGGGATCATGCTTGTCCAGATAATGGGACAGTGTGTCCCAACCGCCGCCGACGCGCACCATGACGTGCGAGCGCAGGATCTGTAAATGGAATTGAGATCGTTTAGTAGATATCCATCATGGAGCCTGGAACGGCGACATCCACTTACCCGCACAAAGATGAGAACTTTGGTGTCGCCAATGCGATATTTGCCCTCTGATACCCGGACCATGGGAAACTGTGAGGGGCATGTGCACTTCTCGACCAGATCACGGACCTGTGGGATACGGAAAATTAAAATATCAATTATTTACAGAGCTAATTATTATTCCCAATTGTTTGATTTATTATAAAATGCCATCTTTAAACTATAAATATAGGTATATATATCATTCCGAGAGCAAATGCCCATTTACGTTAACCTAATGATGACAGCCAGTATTATTTTGTATTAAATTGATTGCTTTAATTTGCATTTAAATGTGCTTAAACCATATTGGGTTATAACCAATTAAATATTAATTAAAATGCAATCTTTAAGAGTTTGTTCCCAGGGTTCTATCATCAAGAGTTTCTGCTTTTTGCTTACAATTTGCAACAAAAAAAAAACAAAAACTTCAGTGTCCATTACCCCCGCGTGTTGCCCTGCTGTGGCTCTGACCCTTAGCATTGCATAAGCCTGACCCTCGGATCAGTTCCCCAACTTCCCAAATAAAAAAAAACAAAAACAAAAACCTCCCTGACTTCTGCAGTGGCAGTTTGCCAGCAAAAGGAGCAGCGACGACGAGCATCGGGGTCACCAAATAGTTTTTCACTGCATAAATTCACGCGCTGCCATTGTCCAACAAACAAATGATCCGCTCTGGCGAGGGGGAAACCTCTTGGATTTGATCTCCAGAGGGGAATCGCAAAAAAGGCAGGAGTAGGAGGAGGAGGAGGAGTTGGGCCATGGCTGTGGCTATGGCTATGTCTACCCTTGCCCTAGGGAGAGGCAAGAGGACCATGGGAGCCAGAAAAACCTAGTCTGGACAAAAAAGACCAGCCAGCAAATCGGCTTCAGTCCGTCCCAGAGGGCGATGGTGGTGGCGGTTGAGGTAGAAAAACAAATGACGACTTGGTCTGGCCTGTCTTTAGGTCTGATTCTACACTGTCACAAAAATCAGGACAGAAAATTAAATTGAAAAACGAAAATGAGGAGTTTAAGGACCCAGAAGAAGCGGCTGAATCCTTAGGGTTTCACCAATGATTCCAATGGACATTCACCAATAAGGACTCACCAATAAAAAGTTGCATCTTTGAGTACTTTTTTACTTTATACTAAGCTTTGCCAATTAAATAAATTTAGCATTAAGCATTATAAGTTACTATTATTGCTTTAAAGCATACAATCCCATTAGAGAGTTACACCAATGATTACACCAATGAGACTTGCCTTTATAAATGGATTGAACTTTGGATTTAACAATGTTTCCAATTAGTTTTGCAATCAAAGAACACAAAAACATCATTGAAACATCAGCTTTATAATTATTTGGAAATTATTGGTACTACTGATACCTATTTCCTTGCAATTCTTTCCCAAAAAAACTCTTCCCAGTGTACGCTTCTGTCACCGCTTCATCTCCTGGCTTCCCATCCCAGCCCATCCATCGGCTCGAGCCCCATTTGCTACTGTAGTTTTGTGGTATAGCTTTTGTGGCCAAAGCCAGTCAGGCAACGCATTGGCACCTTTGAACTTTCTGCAAAACTCCTTCACCGGCGGCACCAATGGCTGTGGGATGCGTGCTTAGGTGGAGCTAATGCTGCTGCTACTCCTCCATCGCTTGTCCAAGCTTCCAGCTCCCAGCTCCCAGCTCCCAACTCCAAGCTGCAAGCTGGAACACCGACATGACAATAAATCTTTCGACTGAAAGGGGGAGCGATGCCAGCGATGCTAGCGATCTGCCAGAGATCGGGGATCGGCGTGACTCTGACGCATACGAGATTAGCTCTGGCCATGGGATTGCGATGGGGATATAGCGATGTGATCCTGGCCTAACCATAAATCGCATGCCAAAGCCAGGCAATGCCAGACAGACAGCGATGCGGACGTGCCAGAGTTTTCAGCTTTAGCTCCAGACTTTTGGAGTCGACAAATGATCGTGGCTGGTTTGGCTCTTTTCTTTTCTTTTCATTTCATTTCATTTCTTTTAGTTTCTTTTTGCTGTTGGTGGCACATCATTTGATTTTCGACAAGTTGTTGAGGCTATTTGCTGATTTGGCTGCCGCTGCTGCTGTTGCCTTGGCTGCTGCACAAATTGATTGGCTGCCTCCAGAGTTGGCTTTGGTTTTGGAGGTGAAAGAGGAAAGAGGTCTGTGTCTGTGTCCCCGTGTCCATGTCCATGTCCCGGGCTGCATGTCCCATCTATCCAGCGACCATCCATCCCCCAGCTGTCGAATATTGTTGCTTGGTGTTCATGTTACTGGCTCCTAAACTACACGGAAAATCACAAAACTAGCTCTAAATACCTTAAAAATTTACTCTTAATTGGGGAATTAATATTTAGGAAATTTGTAAATAATTTAGAAATGTCTATTAACTTTACAAAAAACAATATCTTACAGAGTGAAAAGGAGCTATAGATGAATGAAAATCGAATAAGCAAAGCAATTTAGAAATTATTACTTGTTGTCTTTACTATATTTTTAAGCAAAACATTGATTTTTAATCTAATAAATTATATTTGCAGCTCTACAAAATTGTGTATATTATTAAACACTTTATTTTCTTTAAAGAAAAGGAAAATCCGCTTCTAATTATTATAATTTCTTATTATTTTGACCATCTCTCTTGCGCTTTTCTTATACTTTCTTTATTAAATATTTTTAAAGAAACATTTTTGATCCTATATTCCCTGGTTTTTACTATTATTTTTATTCAAGTGTAGCCCCGGCTAGCTGCTATTGCTGGCGGCGTGAGGAAATGTTTGCATGGCTTTCATTAGTTTGGTCGTCAATGATTTCCATTGCGCCCCAGCCTGACCAATACCGATCCTCATCCGATCCGATCCGATGCGATCCTTTGTTGCTGCTGTCGTCACACTTTGGCAATTACATTGACAATTGCAATTGTTGTAATTGTTGTTGGCACATCGTCATCTTGTCAAATTAATTTGACATCTCAACATGGCAGGCAGCAAGTTGGGAAAACCCTCTCATAACACCCAGTCGAAAAAATATAGTCACAGAAAATATGTATGTATGTAGGTCCCCGTTTCAATTGCTTCTGATTTGTTTTGGTTTTTGGTTTTTTAGGTAACTGAAAACTTTAGCCATGGCTAAAAATGGACATGAGAAAACTAGCAGCAGTTACAAACAACAAAACAACAACAGTACAAGAGTCTGGGCCAAACAATAACAAACCAAAATCGTGAGTTGGGACAAAGAGAAAACCCAAAAGTGGACATTGGGAGTGGGATTTGAGATAGGAAACTAGGGACAGCCCTGAGGGGCGCAAAAAACCAATAGGAAAATAAGGGGAAAAAAGGAAAACCCAGACGATACAGATACAATATCAAAGACTCAGTCTTAATAAAAGTGATCTTTGCTTCATAAACTGATCTGGTCTCACTGTTCTCACAGTTTCTATTTAAATACTGACTTCCTGTTCTTTCCCGATGTCTGCTTCTATTTTGGTTTTCAAGTAATAGAAATTTCTTCACTCACCATTTCATCGAGACTCTTTAGATCATTGGTAATTATCTGGGGCTGGGGGCCGTACATCAACATGGGATTCTCGTCGCCATCATCCTCATTCTCCGAGTCATCACTGTCATCGTAAAGATCCGTCTCCGAGCCCACCGTCGTGGTGGTGGTTATTGTCGTTGTCGTCGTCGTCGTTGTGGCCATGCTATTTCCAGAGTTTATGGCTTCCGTTTGAGTTCCGTTCTCTGAGGAATTGGCCCCATTGGCCTTGATGTCGGCGGCGATCTCCCGATCGATTTGTCGCTCCATTTGCACCAGCATGGGTGCCAGCATTCCTGTTGGCAGTCAATGATTCATCCGAAATAACAGAAAGGGGGATTCTTTCTAAAGACTTACCAAATTTAGCGCCACGACGGGCCACCTCCAAAAGGCAAAGGATCACATGCTTTTCGTTTTTGCGCATGATCAGATCATCCGTTTCGAACAGTAGACACTCGATGATCTTTAGGCTTTTTCTGAGGGGGATTATGAATGATAAAAGATAAATAAGTATTCAAGTGAGATAGAAGGTAAGTAGAAGATCTGTTTAGGAGGAATATAAGTAGGTAAGTAAGAAAGTAAGGAAGTGACAAAGGAAGTACTAAGGCAGTAAAAAAGTAAGGATGTAAGAAGGTAAGGAAGTAAGGAAGTAAGGAAGTAAGGAAGTAAGGAAGTAAGGAAGTAAGGAAGTAAGGAAGTAAGGAAGTAAGGAAGTAAGGAAGTAAGGAAGTAAGGAAGTAAGGAAGTAAGGAAGTAAGGAAGTAAGGAAGTAAGGAAGTAAGGAAGTAAGGAATAAGGAAATAAGGAAGTAAGGAAGTAAGGAAGTAAGGAAGTAAGGAAGTAAGGATGTAAGAAGGTAAGGAAGTAAGGAAGTAAGGATGTAAGAAGTAAGGAAGTAAGGAAGTAAGGAAGTAAGGAAGTAAGGAAGTAAGGAAGTAAGGAAGTAAGGAAGTAAGGAAGTAAGGAAGTAAGGAAGTAAGGAAGTAAGGAAGTAAGGAAGTAAGGAAGTAAGGAAGTAAGGAAGTAAGAAAGTAAGGAAGTAAGGAAGTAAGGAAGTAAGGAAGTAAGGAAGTAAGGAAGTAAGGAAGTAAGGAAGTAAGGAAGTAAGGAAGTAAGGAATTGAAGAAGTAAGGAATTAAAGAAGTAAGGAAGTAAGGAAGTAAGGAAGTAAGGAAGTAAGGAAGTAAGGAAGTAAGGAAGTAAGTAAGTAAGGGATTAAAGAAGTAAGGAAGTAAGAAGGTAAGGAAGCATGGAAGTAAGGAAGCACGCAGTGAGAAAGTAAGTAAATGCTTTGGAAAGTTATTTAATTTGAATACAAGGAACTTAATAGGGATGAACTAAGGTAGTAAGGAATTAAGGAATCAGGGAACTAAGTATGTACTGTAACTATTTTTCAACTTTAATAGATCTTAAGAGGTAAAATGATCTCAGATCCCATATAAAAATAAACCCCCCTTAATGACAGAACTCACCTGCACCAGGTTATAAAATTGGACACATTGTCGCGGGCAAAGAAGGTGCCACTTTTGGCGGCCGGAAGATAATGGACATTGCCCAGGGCAAGGATCGGCCCGGCTAAGCCCGAGGTCATCGAGCGGGTCATCGATTTGTTGCGTGCCTGTCGCCGTGCCAGATAATCCTCCGCTGCCTGGCGCACATAGTTGGCGTGCTGCAAAGAGGGAGAAGTAAGAGCGTTTAGCATGAGGAAGAGCAGGATGAGGAAGCCGAGCCGGAGGGCACTAGAAATTCCCCAATGAGCACGGCTGCGGTAAGTATTTTTATTTGATTTTATTTATTTACTTTTTTTTATTTGCGCTGAGAAAGTGCCGCCACAAATACGTTTTATTTTTAAGCGCCTAAGGAATTTAGCACGGCATTTTTTCTGGGGCTAGTCCCCCTGCCACAGTTCTGCCCCAAGATTTGTTAGCCACAACCTGCAATGGGCGTTGAACGATCAACGTCGCGACAATACATTTATTTTTGATAGTTGTCTCAGTTCTGAACATTTTTGGGACAGATGGAAAAAAAAATGGGGTTATCTACATACAGTTTGTCAAGTAATTCTTTGCAAAACGAAAAATCCCTCACAATTTTGGGTTTAAGCTGAAAATTTATTGACAAATACAAGAATTTTTAAAATTTGCTTTTATAATATTATTAGGATAACTTTAATCTATAAATATAAAAAACAAAACTTAAATATTTTAACTTAAAACATAGTAAAAAATAACAAAAACAAAAACATTGCAATTCGTATGCTGTCAATTATTTCTTTGCAAAATGCAAACAGGAGTTGAAGAGGTTCCTAGAATTAAGCAACGTAAAGCAAATTCTGAGGAAAATTAACGCTTGCCACTTCTTAGTGGTCTTTACTTTTATATTCTTGAAAAATTTCGTTGGAAAAAGTTCGTGTTTGATCGAGTCCAGAATTTTAATCATGTCCGGCAAACGAATTGACGATAATAACATAGAATTGGTTTACTTTAACCATTATAAAGGGTAATCGGCGTCGGAACATTCATTTTTGATATTTAGTTAGGAACAATGTATAAAATAATTAAACGGTCTAAAAACAAAAATAGACTTGACCTGTACAATTCTACAGGCAGATTACCAAAAGCTCTCCAAACGCGACCATTATAAAATTTCGAAACAAATTGATAAAAACCCGCCAACAACCCTCAGAAAGTTGGCTTTGGACTTATAAAATTATTGCAGAAAAACAGGTTGCCATGAGACTGTGAGGAAAGTCCTGAATCTCCACAAATACTCCTCACACATTGCCAGGAAGAAACCAATGCTTTCAGCTATAAATATTGAAAGGCGTTTTAATTTCTCTATCGGCCACGTTAACCAGCCTCCTGAGTATGGGGATGAAGATTTTTTTTTGTGACGAGACTAAAATAATGCTATACACTCATGGCTGACCCAATAAAGTTTGGAGGAAACCAAACACAGGTGTCCAGCCGAAGAATATCATACCAACATTGAAATTTGGCAAGTTTTCTGTGATGATAAGGGGGGGCATATCATCAAAAGGAGTTGGTGAGCTGCGGATTTTTAATGATATAATGACGAAGGAGTTTTAATTGTTCTTTAAAAAGGAATTGACCAGAAGCGCGGAGAAATTTGGTCTGCATGACGTAACTTGTCCAAAAAGAAATAAATATTAACTGCACCAGGAAAACGAACTCCAGCTCAAATCGCAGCTGTGCAGGACCTGGCTCCTGTTAATTGCAAAAAAAGTCATTGACACTTCTACGGAAAGCCCAGATATAAATATATATAGAACATGTTTGGGATTTTTGGAAAAGAAAGTGACTAAACGGACTCCAAAAAATAAACAGGGTTTAATTAAAGTAATACAGGAGAAATGGGAGAAAATTCCAGAATATTACGACTTGAACGGGCTAATAATGCCAATGTCGCGACGCCTCCATGCTGTAATAGATGCAAATGTACTCCACATAAAATATTAACGCCGCAGCTATTATAGTTTTTAAGTTATCCTTGGTAAACTATAACGTCTTTGCAAATTGCAAAGAATTAATTGACAGCATACGAATTGCAATGTTTTTGTTTTTGTTATTTTTTACTATGTTTTAAGTTAAAATATTTAAGTTTTGTTTTTTACATTTATAGATTAAAGTTATCCTAATAATATTATAAAAGAACATTTTTAAAATTCTTGTATTTGTCAATAAATTTTCAGTTTAAACCCAAAATTGTGAGGGATTTTTCGTTTTGCAAAGAATTACTTGACAAACTGTATCTATCCTAGAGGGATTTGATGTTTTAACGGTATTATTTTTGAAAGACTTTATTGCTGTAATTGACACATTTTTCGACGTTTGCGGTTATGTCATCTGGAATCTGAGATCCCCAGACCCAGAAAACCCAACCCCGAACCCGTATACGAAAAACGTAAGTAACATTAGCTAAAAGCTCCCCCCCCCTCAATCGTGTCTCGACGTGTCATGCATTCCCATTTTCATTTCCATTTCCATTCCCATTTCCATTTGCATCTGCATCATTCCATATTCATTTATGCACACTTTGTTGTAATAATTTAATATTTAAACAATATTATTATTTCAGCTTCTTCACACAAGCACAAGCACATGCAAGCACGCACACATCCACATCCACACATTCATTTATGGATATCTGACAAATGCTTTATTTGGTGTTTATTGTTTCACCTCGCCATAATACCCTAACCCCAAATAAGGGCAACCCGCAATACTGCACCGATGACGATGACGATCCGCTGACGTTTCATCCCAAGCAATGGAGAGCATTGGGGATAAGGATTTGGATTTGGGATCTAAATCGTAAGACATATTTCTAAAAGGAAGTTCTGTGGGGATTTTAGATATTTAAGTCAAAGGAATACTTTAAATTCCTGCATTAATCAACATCAAGATAGAAATTTTCCTCACAAATTTTAACTTTACAGAAACAAAACTCTCTGAAACTTAAATAGTTGAAATACTTATTAAATATTTAATATTTTACCTATTGAATAAGAGCATTACGATTTCGTTGTGCTTCACCTGACACCATCTCCATCAACTTCTTCGTTTTTACTGCATCTTCTTCCTCCTTCCTCTATCTCCTCTTTGTGGTGCTGTTATCATGCCGCCGCTTGCAAGGTAAGCTGCAACGCCCACAACAACCCATTTCGGCTACCCAGAGGCGTTAAATGCATCTCCCGCTCCCTCTGTTGCTTCCTCTCTGTTACTTTATACTCCTCACCTTCCCTTTCGCTCCCACCCCTTAAGCTAAGCTGCCCACGAAGTTGAAGCTCACTTTTGGGCCTTGGTTTCACTTTGGCCCCAAGCAGCGGCTGCAGTCGAGGCTGCGCTTAGAACCGAAGCTTATTACAGCTATGGTCACAGTAATAGTAACAGCTGTTTAAAAATGCAACTTGTAAAATTTGTATTTAAATTTATAAATCGATTTATAATATTTATAAGATATCTAATATAATATTTTTAATAATATATTTGTATTTATAAGCAGTAACCTAATAGTTTTTAGCTGGTAAATATATTTTTAAATGATTAACCTCATATTAGATATTAATCCATATCCAAATATATCTTATATCTTTGCTTCTATTTCACTGACCGCTGCGGTATGTAACACTGTGCGTGTGTTGTTTTAGTTTATTTTTTATTTTTATTTTTTTCTTTTTCTGAATCTGAATAATGCATTCAGAGTGCAGGCGCGCGACACAGACAGACAGAGAGAGAGAGAGAGGTAGAGGGAAAGAGTGAAAGAGAGCATCATGAATATTTGATGGTCGGCAGCATCACATTTTCACTTTCGAAATTCGACAGTTGCCGGGATTGGCGCGTGGTGTAGGTGGGAAAGAGATGGCGTGGAAATGGTTATTATGACATAAAAAAAATAAACAAAGCTTACTTGCATCAACAGCGCGTGACACGTGCCACTTGTTGTTGCTGTTGCTGTTGTGGCAGCAAGTGCAAGTGCACTTTATATTGGTAAATCGATAAATATAAATAAAACTGCATTCAGGACCTTTTAAATTCTCTTTCAATAAACAACAAGTGAAGCTTTAATTTTAGTTGGCTTCATTTCCTTCTATTTCTTTTAGCCTCGTTCGTCTTCGTTTTGTTCTCTCTTTCTTTTTTTTTTTTTTTTTTGCTCTAGCCTAGTGCCTCCTACATCCGCATCCGCATCCGCATCTTCAGAGTCAAGTGTCGAACCGCAATTAACATGACTTTAGCTTCGCGTTCTTCTCCTCTTCTTCTTCTTGGCTCTCCCACTTCCCTGTCTTGGTCTTAAGTGAATAAAGCTAGGGGGGCCAGAAAGAGATGGAAAGTGGGTCGACCTGTGACCGCCCCCTCTCACTCAATCTGGCCACGCCTCCCACTTCCTTCATATTGCAAATACGTGACGATGATGCGATATCCACACACACAAACACACACACACACACACTCGTATAAAGGTGGAAGAATGACAAGAAGAAGAAGCACCAGGAGAAAGGCGTAAGAGAGAACTTTTGTGGGAGTATGCATGTATGTGCGTGCATGCGTTACAGGTACACCACACAGGCTTTCCAGTTACGTTAGCCGTCACGTAATTAGCTTAGATTTTTGCTCTTTTTCTTTTGACGCTTTCTGCCTGTTCACAAAATGTGTGTCAATATGGCGTTAATAACATTACATGACAAACTGAAAGCACTTGCAGAAAAAAAAGATACAAAAAAATCAGCAACTGCAATAACAGAAAAAGAAAACGCTGTCGCATTATACCGTAACACCAGCGGCTGGCGACGTAAGCGCGGGCGGCGTCAACGTTAACGTCAGCGCAGCGCTGATTTTTTTTGCTTCCGCAAAAAAGGCAACAAATTAAATAAAACAAAATTAAAGCGCACACAGAAATAACAGCAGCAGCTAAATAATAAATAAAATGACATTGCACAAAAAAAAAAAACAAACACGAACAACAAAAGCAAACGTAAAAAAACGAAACCGAAATAAGTTAATAATACAGTAGAAGGAAAAAAAAAACAACAACCTGATAGATTGGAAGTTATAAAAAAATGTATAAAATATTAATGCAAATATAACAGCAAAAGAAAGTTTATCAACTATGAAACTAAAGGTGTAAAATTATAGATTTTAATGAATTTTA